CAACCTCCGCCTCCTGAGTTCAGGCAATTCTCCTGCCTCAACCTCCTGAGTAGCTGGGATTACAGGCATGCACCACCATGCCCAGCTAATTTTTTTTTTTTTTTTTTTTGTATTTTTAGTAGAGACGGGGTTTCACCATGTTGACCGGGATGGTCTCGATCTCTTGACCTCGTGATCCACCCACCTCAGCCTCCCAAAGTGCTGGGATTACAGGCTTGAGCCACCGCGCCTGGCCTAGTCAAGGCAATTCTAATTAAAAAAAAAAAACAAAGCCGGAGGCATCACACTGCCAGACTTCAAACTATACTACAAGGCTATAGTAATCAAAACAGCATGGTACTGGTACCAAAACAGAGACATAGTCCACTGGAACAAAACAGAGGCCTCAGAAGAAATACCACACATCTACAACTCACCTGATCTTTGACAAACCTGACAAAAATAAGCAATGGGGAAAGGACTCCATGTTTAATAAATGGTGTTGGCAAAACTGGCTAGCCATGTGCAGAAAGCAGAAACTGGACCTCTTCCTGTCACCTTACACTAAAACTAACTCCTGATGGATTAAAGATTTAAAAATAAAGCCTAACATCATAAAAACACTAGAAGAAACCATAGGCAAAACCATCCAGGACATAGGCACAGGCAAGAACTTCATGACTAAAACACAAAAAGCAATGGCAACAAAAGCCAAGATAGACAAATGGGATCTAATTAAAAATCAGAGCTTCTGTACAGCCAAAGAAACCATCATTAGAGCAAACCAGCAACCAACAGAATGGGAAAAAATTTCTGCAGTGTACCCATCTGACAAAGGGCTAATATCCAGAATCTACAAAGAACTAAAACAGATACACAAGAAAAAAACAAACAACCCCATTCAAAAGTGGGCAAAGGATATGAACAGACACTTTTCAAAAGAAAACATATATAAGGCCAACAAACATATGAAAAAAAGCTTATCATCACTGGTCATTAGAGAAATGCAAATCAAAACCACAATGAGATACCATCTCACGCCAGTTAGATTGGCGATCATTAAAAAATCTGGAGACAACAGATGCTGGAGAGGATGTGGAGAAATAGGAACACTATTACGCAGTTGGTGGGAATGTAAATTAGTTCAACCATTGTGGAAGACAGTGTGGCGATTTCTCAAGGATCTAGAAATAGAAATTCCATTTGACCCAGCAATCCCATTACTGGGTATATACCCAAAGAACTATAAATCGTTCTACTATAAAGACATATGCACATGTATGTTCATTGCAGCCCTATTTACAATAGCAAAGACCTGGAACCAACCCAAATGCCCATCAATGATAGACTGGACAAGGAAAATGTGGTACATATACACCATGGAATACTATGCAGCCATCAAAAACGATGAGTTCGTGTCCTTTGTAGGGACGTGGATGAACCTGGAAACCATTATTCTCAGCAAACTGACACAAGAACAGAAAATCAAACTCCATATGTTCTCACTCATTGGTGGTTGTTGAACAATGAGAACACATGGCCACAGGGAGGGGAGCATCACACACTGGGGTCTGTAGGGGGGAAATAGGGGAAGGACAGCAGGGGGTGGGCAGTTGGGGAGAGAGAGCACGGGGAGAAATGCCAGATATAGGTGATGGGGAAGAAGGCAGCAAACCACATTGTCATGTGTGTACCTATGCAACAATCTTGCATGTTCTTCACATGTACCCCAAAACCTAAAATGCAATAATGAAGAACAAAAAAAAAAAAAAAAAACCTGCCAGCTCTTTTCACACGTGTGCCTCCTTTGTAGATCAGTTGTGGTGGGTGGCTAGGGGAGGGACACGGGGGTGGGGAGGGTGGGGAGGGATAACATGGGGAGAAATGACAGATATAGCATGCACCTATGCAACAACCCTGCATGACCTGCACATGTATCTCAGAACCTAAAATAAAATTTTAAAAAAATAATAATAATGGTGATAAGACATAAGTACTAGTGAGAAGGGAGATTCTAGTTTCAGCAACACCCTCAAGAAAACCACAAGCTCCTTAAAACAAACTATTCTCTAGGCCATGCCCCTTTCTCCCAGCAAATCATTGCAAGCTTGCTCACATGCGAAAACCCTGCCTTCCTTTGACATCACACTGTTTCTCATCAACCCCCACTTCCTTGTCGGCAACAGATGAATGACCAGTCATCTTCTTCACTGAGGTTTTTGGCACGTGACCAATTAATACCTTCACAATATCATCTTAAATATCCAAATGTCCATCCCACAAGATAAGTTATTTGACCTGTTCTTTCCCAACCACCTTCACCAACACTGCACAATAGCAACCACTGCATAACCACACCTTAGACTTTAACTCTGATAAATCTTATATTGCACTGCAATAAAAGAATGCCTGACCAAATAAGCAACCTCTGACTGCAGATATATATATATATTGAGACGGAATCTCACTCTATCACCAGGATGGAGTGCAGTGGCATGATCTCCTGACTGCAGATTTTTATCCCTCAACTTTCTAGTTCCTTTGGCCACAATCTTTGTTCTTCAATGTTAGCCACATGGAAGTACTTTACATGCTTCCAGTCTAGTCTCATTCAGTTTGTAACAGTCTTCTTAATAGTTTTCATCTTCTCTCTTCCTCATTTCTTGCTCTACTGCTGTCCTAGTCTACTTCAGAGAGAAGGACAATCAATCAAGATTCACATCAGTTTTCCCCAGATCATCCCTATCAACTTACCCAATCTTACTGGTCTCCTCTCAGTCCATCAGAGGAAGAGATGCCTGGTCTCCTGTTCAATGTTATATACTCTATTTTTTTTTTTATCAAACCCCTTCACATCTCCTCATGTACTTTCTCCATCAATTTCTGTTGAATGAAATGAAGGCTTTTTATACTTCTTTAAGCTTGCCTGTAACATTTATCACTATTAATTATAACTTTGTTAAAATGTCCTACCTGGATTTCCAAGATATCATTCTCTTCTGATTCTCCTCTGATCTCTCATATGGTCTTTTATTTTTATTTGCTAGGTCCTTTTCCTAAATCCTTTCTTTAAACCGTTAGTGTCTGAAAAGTCTCATCCTCTTCTTATTCTGGGTACAATCTCATCCAAATCCCATGATATCAGCTACTGCCTAAGAATTACTGGCTCACAAATATTTCACTCTAATCTCAATTTCTCCCTCAACTCCTGACCCTACCAATTATTATGTACCAATCTGTTCCACCTAGATTTTCTTGGTTAAGCTTAAAGTCCTCCCATCTAACACAATATGCAAACAACAACAACAAAGCAAACCAGATTTGCCACTGTTCTCTTCAAATCTTCTGTCTGTATTCTCCATGTTGCCAATATCATCATTATCCACCTAGTCACCCAAAGTCATTACCAACCCATTCTTGAGTGTAAACGTTCTCCAGAATAGCAAAGCAGTTAAGAATACAGTCACTTAATTACCTAAGTTCAAATCCTTTTCTTAGCACTCTCCTGCTGTAAGACTGTGGGCAAATTACTTAACCTTCTGTATCCCAATTTCCTCATCAGGGAGAAAATAATACCACACAATCTGCAGGGTGAGGCGGGTATGAAATGATTAACACTTGTAAAGTACTTAGAGCAGTGACTGGCACAAAATGTTGAAAAAAATGTTTACTGGTAGTATTATGATTATCACAGCCAATCAATCAACACGTAATATATATTTTGTTTTCTATAAGATCAACTCTTCTTCTCCACATCCCTAATTCTACTTTTGTTTATATATTTAACATTTCTGAAAGATTACTATTCCATAGCTCATCAATATTAAAACGTGTATCTTCCACATTTTACCATCTCTGACCTGGGAGTTCTTATACTTGATAGCCTGTCATGGTTTCATAGGCAGGAGGTAGCACTTCTATTTCTTAGGAGAACATGCATCTAGTAATAACAGGAATGCTGCATCTTACAAGATGTCTTAGGTTTAATGAAATATAGTAAGGGTCTCTTACCTATTTAGCCTCCATTCTAACCCACCAACACTACCTGAAGACCCCAAATCCACTAATGTCAGAAGGCTATCTAGGACTGGGGAAGAACTCATAAAATAGCTATATCATTTTACAGATGTCAGCTATTTCAATATCATTTCATTTTACATCATAAGCATTTTAAAGTAGTAGTTGCATTTCAAAGACTTTTGAAAACATTATAATAATAAACCTTTGAAGATTTATCCATTCATTCATTCAGTAGATATTAACAATGTTCCAAAAATCTGTTCTAGGAACTGGGGATATAGCTATAAGCAAAACAGACAAAAATCCTTATCCTCAGAGTCTTCATTCTAATAAAGGGAGATTAAAAAATAAATAGTACGGAATCTGTATCATATGATGGTAAGTGCTATGGAAAAGAAAAAAAAACGGGAAGAGGAACAGATTTATCACACTCCTAACAATCATGTTATAAGATGATTGTCCTGCATGGTGATAATGCTAATAACATTACACTTTAGAAACATTTCCTCAAATGCAAGATTCCAATTAGGCATTTACCCAGGCTACTTTGATTTGGAAAAGAAGGAGTAAATCTCAAAAGCCTTGGGATAAAACAGCCCATAAGCTGATCCACTTTAGTTACCATACTAATAAGGACTGTAGTTATAGCTTCTCTGGCCCTGACGAGTCTTTGCCTTTTATATTTTAGGAGGTCATAAATGTTGGATGAGGGCCCTTTTCAGGTCCACGGCTTACTGTCACCTCTATCTTTCCTCAACTCACCAAACAGCTAAACGTTCTTTATAAATGGTTTCAATGCTCTGAAATAGGTGCTCCCAGGTGGCTGTTATAACTCATTTCAACCTGGCTGAACAGGCATGAATAAGCCTCTTTATTGTTGGTTTTATCTTCCCTTCAGTGCTTGGGAATACAGAATGATCTCTAAAAGTTTACACTTTATTAACTTCATGAGCCACCAGAAAAATTCCTTCAGTATCATCAGGATAATTCAGCACAGGTACCTTCAATGTCCTGATATGATTCTCAGCCTCACTCTTTTCTTTCTTAAAGTGCTTCATCAGCTCCTGGATATTTTGTTCATGCTTCGTTTTCACACTCTGCAACGATGATGTGAGATCTTTCAGCTCCCTCTGGTGCACGTCTCGTTCCAGCTTTAACTGTGTGATGATGGTATCTGTCTCTTCATCCCTGGATTTCGCCTGTGCAGTGAGGTCAGAAAGGTTCTTAAGCACTGCTTTCTTGGCTCTCTCTTCCTCAGCCAATTTATTAGCGAGATCTGCTCGGATGGCACTCAGGTCCTTGATGGACTCTTGCATCTCAAGAAGCTTAGCTTTGTCCTGGGCCTGGCTCTTCTTGAGCTCTGCAATTTCTTCCTCCAAATGAGCTTTCTCAGCTTTCATCTGGCTTTGGATCTTACTCTGCTTTTTCAGTTCACTTTCTAGTCTATGGATGGTGTCCAGCGAATTCTTGACTTCCAACTCAAGGTCAGCTTGATGAGCCTTAATAGCACTTAGTTTCTCCTCCTTAGAGTGAAGCTCCTCCTCCTGAAGGGCACGCTTCGTTAGGACACCATTCAATTCCTTTCGAAGATTCTCTATTTGTTGTAATGCTGCGTACAGTTGGCTTTTCAATTCATCCTTTTCTTTCAAAATCTATCAGGTTAAAAACATGAAGCAAAAAGAAAAGTTACTGTAAAATTCACCATAGAGTCTGCCAGTTTGCAAAATAAAGTTTTAACCCACATGGAGAAAAAAAAAAATTTGTCAATAATCTTTGTATTTTTTCCATTTTGTAATAAAAATACTTTTAGGCCAGAAAAGGGGGAAATATATAACTGTCCTGAAATAGCAACATACTGAATTTATTTCAGATTTTCATCACCAAAACTTATTTCAATCCATGGTCACAAATAATTATTTAAATGTAGATAAAATTGAGCTAACAAATGGAGAAAGAAAAGACTCTCATTATAAAGAAAATTTACCAGAGGTTGAAATAATACAGTATTACCTAAAATAACAATGATGTGCATTCCAATGATACACTTTTAAAAAGGACAAACCCCAAGCAGAGATGGAAAATACTATAGGGAAACATGCAGATACAATATAAGAAAGCGTATGGTACATTCAGCCATTATTTTAAAAATATCAGTGGTGACAAAAATTCAACAATATGCAACTGGGAGCCTTGAAGCCCACAAAGGTAAACATAAGATTAAGTTAGGAGAGGTTGAGGAAAGGCTCAAGTGAAGAGTCAAGGGCCTAGAAGTCCATCATTTTATGCCAGCCTCTCTACGATTTACATTGAGGGACAGAGGTCAAAGGTTAACTCTTGTGGCCTCTAATTCTCACCACCAAATCATTGCAAACAAAATAGTGGGCAGCCAAGGGGGCCAAGATTGTTTTCTATTCAACACTGGCACCAAAGATAATCTCCGTGCCTACTTACTGATGCTCACACCATGTCTTGAAACAGGCAAGAAAAAAAGGAACCAGTTAAGAATCATTATAGAATTACAAATAATGAGTTAAAATGCAAATATTTGCAAGACATTTCTACACTTTACATTTCATACTTTAGTATAAAACAATTTATGATAAAGTTTAATGAGTCAATCACTCAAAAAAAAAAAAAAAAAGTTTCCCCAATCCTTCTCGGTTTTAACTGAAAGAAAGAGCACAAAGCTAACATGAGGACAAACAAAAGGAGAAAAAGCAGTTGAGCTCCAACTGGAAAGAAGTGAATTTGATTCTTAGTTCAATCATGGGCAATTCTATGGCCTCAAGAAAATCATTTCTCTTACTAGAGAAAATAATAATAGCTATTTCATAAGATTGTGATGAAGATCAGTGAAAACAGGGAAACAAAAAGAAGAATTTAATTTCAAGGAGGTCCTAGGGTCTCAGGGAGGTATTTATGCAAGGTAGTGATCAAAACTGTAAGAACAGCCAGACACAGTGGCACATGACTGTAATTCCAGATACTTGGAAGGCTCAGGTGGGAAAATAGCTTTGGCTCAGGAGTTCGAGACCAGCCTAGGCAATATAGGAAGACTCCACGTCTACTGTGAAAAAAAGTGGATAACTGAGGAGAAGGAACTCTGGTACACAGATGGAAAATTTCACTTCCAAAAGAATGTAAGGTAGGAGCAACATAGATGAGCCTAAGGTTAGATGTATTATTTTTCTACTGCTGCATAACAATTTCCAACAAACTTAGTACTTAAAACCATACTCATTTTTTATCTCATTATTTCCAATAGGTTGAAAGGTCAAGCAAGGTATTCAACTTAAGGCCTCCTAAGACTAAAATCAGCTGGCCAGGGTTCTTATCCAGAGGCTGAGAAGAATCCATGTCCAAGCTCATTCAGGTTTCTAGTAGAATTTGTTTCCATACAGTTGTAGGACTTTGGGTCCCCATTTCCTTGCTAGCTTTTGGCCAGGGGTTATTCTAAACTTCTAGAAGCCAACCTTGTTCCTTGGCTCATGGACTCCACCATCTTCAAAGTTTGCAACAGCTGGATGAAGCCTTCCCAAGCTTCAACTCTCTCCAACATCCTCGTCTCTCAATAGCCAGAAAAAAACTTCTGTTGAGGGCTCGTGATTAGATTAGACCCGTCCAGATAATGTGATCCCAGAAATAATATCTTATCATATTCATGGATTCCAGAAATTAGGGTGACTTCCTGGTGGGTGGGGGTCATTCCACTTACCAAACTAGAGAACACAAAATCTGACAGAATCAAGTTTGGGCTATAAAGATAACGTGGGAGGGACTACACGAGGGTAGGGGCCTTCAATATAGTGATACATGTTTGAAGCAGATAATTTAGCCCTCTTGGCATGACTTGGGAGAATCATAGGCAGTGCTGAGGATTAAAATAATATTTTCATAATGAAGTCCTAGCATGTAAAGCATCTTTAATTATGAAACGTTATGTCTTCCTGAAACTGGATTAAAAAGCAAAGGTATTTCTTTTTCTCACATAACAGGAAGTCCAGAGGTAGGGTGATTCAAGAAGAATCCCTCAAAGCTCAGGCTCTGCTATTCTATATCTCTCCATCTTTTGCTGTCTTTGCAGTGTTTCAAGCTTCACATCAATTCCTGACAAAGAAGACAGCTTCAGGGCAGACAGTCACAGACCACGTGGGTCAAGTTTGGCACCTCTTTGGCAATACAGATACTAAAAACTAAGCTCTGCCCATTTGCTTCTGGTTAATTGCTTGCCTAGTAGCACAGCTTCAGATTTTTTCTAGACATTTTCTCTGAGTCTGAAAATGTCAATGTCTTTACTACCATCTCAATACGCTGGACATACCTAGGGCCCTCAGTAAAGTAGCTTTTATCTTGAGGCAAATCAAAACAATGGAACTGGGTCCCCTTTGTCTGGCCAGGAATACTTAAGTACTTGAAAAGATCCCAGGGAAAAGGCTTGATTTTTAACCTTTTTGTTTTTTTTTTTTTTCCTGTTTCCTGCCTCCCTCTTGTGATTGCACTAACTTCTGTTTGGATAAATAATTTGGCTTTTCCAAGCCTAAGGGGTTCCAAATTATCATACTCCATACTCCATAGTCAATTTGGATTACAAATTGCAGACTTCAGGGTTCCCACCTTAAAAAACAAACAAACAAACAAAACTCTGCTTTTAGACTAGTTTCAACTTAAACTTGTCTTTATCTTGTAAGAACTTTCTAAAGGCTGAAATATGTACAGAACATACTCCAACATCCTAAAGTTTTCCTACCAGTAACTTAATACTATCCTCTGATTCATAGCATCAATGCCTCTAAATATGATTTCTGATTATTTAAACCAACTGCTTCCAACCGCATAGCAAGGTTTACCAACTTTCTCTTTAGAATATGATCCTCTCTTGCCTCTAAACCTACTTCTCCTCGCAGTCAGTCCTACAATTTCAGTTCTTATTTCTAGAACTCAAATTTTACATAAACTTGAATTTCTTCTGCTGAGGGTAAGAGAAAATCCCAATCTGAACTGACTTAAACCACAAGAAAATCATTCCAGGCATTCATTCATACATGACCACTGAGATAGGTAAGGGGGGAAAAAAAAGAAAAAAAAAAAGAAAAGAAAATCATTCCAGGCAGAACTGCTCCAGACACAGTATGTGAAATCTCTAGGTTCACCTCTGCAATTTTGTACTTAGTGATGGTCTTACATTAATTATCAAATGGGATGGACAGGGGAAGGGAGGAGGTAACCATGACTACTACAGAAGCTAACTGACACTTCTATGTAAGTTTTGCTGTTACTATTAAGGAGAAGGAATGGAATAAGTGGTAAGTGGAGTTGACTCCAGATTATAAATCAGTTAAATGTAAGAGGGAGAAGAAAGAAATTGAAGATGTTGGTGAGAACATCATCAAAGTAGCTTTCAATGAAGTCCGATGTGACAGGAAAAAAATTAAATCCAGAAAATGGCTAGTAAACCAGAGGAATGTTGAAAGATCAAAAGTGAGTATTAATAGTTTAAAAAGCTAGGGGGTAGGGAATAAAAGAATTATGAAAGATCAGAGACTGAGCTTTGAAACTGAAGGTTTGGACATGGAACAATTAAAGATGAAGATAAAATTTAAACACAGATATTAGACACTGAAGTAGAATTATTTTAGCTAAGGTCACTATAAAATAAGACATCAGTGAATTCTAAGGATACAGACTTCAGTAGGTTGCAGACTTGAACTCTGAAGTTACTAAGGATGATGGCAAGAATTGCGTGTCATAAAACAGGTTGATGCGAAGCCAAGTGCTAAAATCCTTGAGAAATATAGAGGCATAAATGAAAAATAGCCAGCAGTCAAGAGAAAAAAGGGGGAAAGAATGTTCTAACCAGGCAAACCAAGCTTCCAAAAGGGGCAAAAGAAGAGATTATTGAAAGACCTGAAAACTGTGTGAAGCCAAAAGCATGATACTATCTAAAACCACAGCAGTTACAGGAACAGAAGTCAACTCCTCAAAGACCTGAACACAAAGTATTATATAAACAGTTAGGTTTTTTTTAATTACAGAAAGGTAGATGAGGGGATTGTTAAATGCGCATTTTGTTTTGTTTTTACCTGCATGTGAGGGAAAATGCAGGCAGATGGCTGGATTATACTAAAACATAGTCTAGCATTTCTTGAACTGCGTATGATAGGACCACATATGCATTCAAAAAATGGTACATGTTGGCACTGATCCTTCTTACTTACAACCATTCAAAAATTCAGGTTTTACAAGATAGCATATATTATATATAATTCTTTTTTTCTGTCAGCAGGAGGGAAATACACAGAAGGAAAATATGGTAATTTCAGATTCTTGACATCAAATACTATCAAGCAAAAAGCTCAATATATAAGCAAGTCAGTTATTCTGCCAATTCAGCATGGGAGGAAAAACCCCTAGCAAATATTCCCATTATCCATATTTTTAAAAATGAAAAAAATTGGAAACATTCAGAAAAGCAATATACTATGATGGGAGTCCAAGTCCAATTTTTTCCTTTATCGTTTCCAAAGCACCTGTACAAACCAATGATTTCAAACAGCACCTTAAAAGAAAAAGAGAAGCAAAAATACCACAATTTACGACGAGATTATTTGTGTCTACAAACTTTCGGTCTCCTAATATCTGTTACCTACGTATCCCTGAAGTATATCATGATTCCCTGACATAAATATCCATTTCATTGTCTTTTGAGGAAAGTGTACAATTTAATCTCTCTGGGTTTTTTTTTTTTTTCCTGCAGCGATACGTGATTTGATATTACACATTCTTCAGTAATTATGTAGTTTTACAATATGATACATATCTGATAATCTAAGATTTCAGAAACGTAAAAAGTAGGAAAAAAGAAATAGAACAGTTTTTCTAAAATTTTTATCTAAAAATATACTAAAAGGTAAAAAAGCCTTTTGTCTTTTAGTATTTTTTTCAGTATTTTTTATTTTTTAGTTATTTTTTAGTATTTTTTATTTTTTAAGTAGTAAATCTTAAAGCAGAAAATAATTTATGCTAGAAAGAGAAAATTGGCAGTAGACACAAAACCATATTGGAAATGTGAGAATAGAATCATATGAGCATATAAAATGACTCAGTAAGGCTACTTATTAAGCAATTAATTTATTCTTTAAGCCACAATATATTATATTTGGAAATCAGTATAATTTTTATTTTAATATATATTTATACCTTGGAGTCACTTTTTGAAAATAATTAGCCTTAAAATCAAAAAGAAAGTAACTGTATTATAAATGTGTTAAGGTGACTTTGTGATTTTATTAAGAATTAAATATCCCTTAGAAATAATATTCTGTAACATATTTTTAAAAAATTTTTTTGCAAAATGATTTACCATGTATTTCCACATCACAGATTTACTGAACACATTTCTTACTCTTTTTCCTTGAAAAACCAGTGCCCTAACTGCAACACGCTGCATTAATTTTTAAGGCTTTTAAAGGAGAAATTACAATGCCTGCTGTGATAATTGTGTTACAACCCTAACTGTGGCAATCACTTGAAAACTGCTTCTTTGCTTATCATTAGTAATGCTAAGTGATAAAAATAATTGGAAGTATTCTGGGAAATGATTGTTAAACAATTTTTAATATTCTGAAAACTCAACCTAGAAAAATCTCAGCACCATGAATTGGGATGCTGTCTGACGACATGGACCCTTCTAAATCTCTTCTAATTAAGTAAAATCTCCAGATGAGATTTTCAATCAATCAATTCCCTCAACCACTCCTCTCTCTAGCTACCTACCTTATAGCCAGGCTCATGGAGCCAGTTGCCAGATCAGGCCGACAACAGAATAATCAAGATAGAGCAATTTCCTGGGATCAGATCAGTTCAGACATGAGTCTGAAAGCTTTAGAACTGCTTTACATCAGGGCAACTAGCCACCCAGTATGTGTCAGATGGGTTGAAAAACAATCCTCAGTGAGTGCAAAATGATCATTTCTTTCATCTATATGTCCGGGAAATTCATATGTAAAAGATAAAATATCTTTTCCATAACAGCTCATCTGAAATAAGCATCTGTCACTCTTAAATGCTTCAAATTGATTTTATGAATATAATCTCCTACATTTTGTTTTCTTTCCAAAGAAAGTCAACTTATCCAACTGATTATTCTTCTGGAATGTACAGAGTTCTTGACAAGTGACAAATGACAAAGCACAAATGATAAACCGAGAATGAACATGGATAAAAATCAATCATGACTTTCCTGCTTATTATCTTATAAACATCTGGGTTTAATTCAACCCAAAGATATATCAGATGAGAATCAACATAGGAACATAAAATCCATTTAAAGTAACTGATTATACAAGAGAAAAGATAATGTGAAACGCATACATAGATCAGTGAAATGCTTTTTGTTGCTATCAAAAGGGCAGAAAAGCAAAGTCTTGAGAGGGCTGTGATCCTATAACATTGCTCAGTCAATGAGATCCTCAGTGTCAAGCATTCAAGTAAAGCTCATTATGGTTGCTCCCAGAAAAATGGCCCTAGGAACTACTGCATTTTTAAAAATGCTTCTTTCTAACCAATTGAAAAATATAAATAAATGAGATTGAAAAATACATGCACTGCGAGGAAAGTTATATAAAAATAAGGAAGATTTAGTCATTTTTTTCCATTGAAATATTAGAAGAGTAAAGAATAATTCGATTTAGAAAACTTAAACCTAAACTGGGGCAAAACGTAGATCTATGTATGGGCCAACTCTGAAAAGCAACTTAAAACTAAACGATGAAAAGGCTTAAGTAAAAAAATTAAAAATTTAACTTTTGTACTTTGAAATAGCCAAGACATAAGGATTCTTCTATCAAGGACATATGGATTATATATGCACAGTACGGCACTCAAGTGTTTCTTCAAAGGATGGATGAATGAATGGTTGGGTCACATCAAAAACCATTCCTTGGGAATATGGCTTTTATACCTGGTTATTCTTGTCTGTCAGTTCATCAGCAGTTTCGGATTGTTTCTCCAATGCTCGCTCTAACTTCTTGTGTTTAAGCTTCCACTGCCTAATGGATTCTTGAGCTTTCAGTTTCAGGTCTTCCCTCCTCTTCTCCGCCTCCTCTCTCAGGGCCTCTGACTGCTGGAGCTCACTGAGGTACTGCTCAGCCTGCTTGGTTGCATCCTCTGCATGGCGAGTCAGCTCTGAGATCTGAAGGTCAGCATGCTTGCGCTCAGCCTCACATGTGTCAAAGTGTTTCTGGATCTCCTTAAGTCGATCCAACATCTGCAGTTGCTGTTTTTCCCCATTCTCCAGTTCACGTGTTAAATTCTAGGAATAAAGCACGTAAAACATTAGGAACAAATCCTTGTCAACACTGGATGTGTAGCATATCATTAAACAAGAATCTCTAAGGTGATTGAAATGGAAATCATCTGCATTAAAATTCATTAGCAATCAGTTTAGAAAATATGAGTCCTTTTCTTTGTATTTTATAACTATGTTAGTTGGGAGGAATTTTTATATAAATATTGCCACTTTTTTGGACTATTATCCAAAAAGGGAAGATATGTGTTTTCAATTGACTGTCACTAAAATAAAAGGCACCTTAGAAGAAATACTAACAACCCAGTGTTTTGTCCAACTAAAGAAATTTCAATGTTTTAAAATTTGTCAGGTTCTCATAAAACTATTAGCAGCAATCATATATAACATTTTGTTTTCTGGTAGCAAAACAAAACTATAATAATAGTATGAAAATAAGTAACAATGAAGTGACAGAAACATCAGCATACATAACACTGTATTAGGCTCTCAATAAAGCGTTTATAGATTGGTTGGTTCCAGATAAACCATCATAATATTATATATTGAAGCACTTATCTCAAGCTGATATGAATCACTGTAGAACAGACTTATAAATACACTTAATTTAACTTTATTTGAAATATTTCTCTAATCAAGAAAAAAAAAACTTTAAGTCTAGCTTTCCTAAAACCAGGATGGTGATTATATATTTGGAAATTACACTAAACTATCAGGATTAATACATATTTTAAGAATAAGTAAATATCTATTTTAAGTTTAAAAATGAGAAGGAAACTGTTTTATGCAAGTGTATACAAATAAAATAATAATCATTCACATTAAGCCATTAAAGAATCTTAAAATTAAGCCACTTTTGTAAAGCTTTGTAAGAAAGTAATAAATTCAGAAATATAGCACTTACAATGAATCACATAAGCTGCCCCTCATAAGCCTTAGTTTCCAAATACTTAGTGGCAACAAGAGTGACATAAAAAGGTCATGTGTCCACATAAGAATGAGTTCAAAGGCTAGAATGAGGCTGTGAGTTGGATAAACAATAAATAACATCTCCATGGTACTAAGGCCCAGACCAATCAGACTAGAAACGTTTACCAAGCTCCCTTGGCCCCAAAAGCAGAATTTCCAAATCCAGATTCCACCATCTATGGCTCAAATAAAGTTAAATATAATTTCCCTCATGATTAAAATCATGGTTTGACATTATGGCAAACATTTTTTTAAATGCCTCAAAAACAACCTTCATTTTCTGGGCAACAAGTTTGCATTTGTCCAGTTTGCTAAATTCAGTGCAGCCTGGAAGACGCTCCATCCACCCAAAATAGTAAATTGAGAACTGTGTACTTACTTGTGTAGAAAATTTTAAAATAAAATCAGAAAACCCTTGTAATTGTGGTTTACCTTTTGCTCTTATTCTTCAAGTTTTACCAGTATGCTAGAAATCAACTTTATTAACAACCAGTAATCAGGTGATTCCTCATCAAAAGAGAAATGGAACTGATTTTTCTTTTCAGCTAATACTTGGAAAGAGAGTGGTTATACTTCCTATTTATCAGGCATATGGTTAAGAAATATTAATAAGACATAGTTTTAATACCAGAGAAGCTAACTGTAATTAGGGAGGTAGTCTCACCAATCACTACATTACAGTAGATGGTACTAGGTGCTATAACATGATGGAGAGTTACCTAAAGGGGTCTATAGTCTACAGTGTGGCTGCAGAGAAGGTCTCCCATTGGAGGTGATGTATAAGCTGAGATTTAAAAGAAAAGGAGCTAGCAATAATAATCAACTAACTATGACTACAACTGAAGTGTACTGAGTACTTGAGTTGTACCAAAGATTGAATGTTTCATGTGAATTACCTCATTCAGTCCCAACACAAATCTAAAATGAGACACTACTGTCCCCATTTCAGTGAAAAGTAACCAACATTTGCTGCAGTTAATAACTTGCCCAAGATCACACACCTAATAAGTGAAGGCATAGTGATTTGGACCTGGATAGTCCTGATTCTAGAGCCTATGTTATCAACCTATTGCTAAACTTCCAGATTCTCAGACGACCCCAACTCCATGCCTCTTCAGTCACCCACTGCCATGGTTTTATCTTAGTGTTTTTATCACAACTGCTACCTTTAAAGCAAGAGGTTCCTCACTCCACCCTCTTCCCATAACTCTGGCTTTAATTACCCATCTAATCAGCTATTATACCCCCTTCCTTCTACTATATCCATGCTTAATTGTCAAGGAGAGAACTACTCCCTTGGGATTTCTTTTACTAGTTTAAATCTTTGCTCTCTATCCTAACCACCATATTTTTTCACTCTAGCCAATCTCTTGCTTACACCTCAGACTCCTTCTTTAAACTATTCATTCACTGAACTTTAGCAACAAAACCACCAACTCTAGATGAACTTAAAAATTCCCAATTCCTATGTCAGGTTGAGTCCTATAATAAAAATCACACAAGACTATCAGTTGATGTGACCACACATTGACAGTCAACTCACTGGTACCCAGAAAGTCTTCCACATGCCTCTACCTAGTTTCCTTGTAGCATGTGATGCTGTTAATTACTCCTTGTTCATTCTTAACTCTCTTCTTCCTTAACTTTCATAATACCACTTTTTACTAGTTCTCCGTCTTCTTGTTCTTTCATAATCTCCTTTCCTGAATCTCTTCTACCATTTAGCCTCTTAAATATAAATAACTCTATACAGTTCCAGTATTATGCATCATTCCACCTATACAATATCCTTGATAGATAAATATTTAGGTAGTCAGATATTAGTAGGTGTTAGTGAGTCCTACATTCAGAAGCCATACTAACTCCTCATCTCCAGACTTTCAAATATCTAATGGCTTCATAACTTTCTCAGAAATCTCACAGGCATCTTAAACCTAGCAAGTCAAGAAATGAACTTATCCGATGATCAACTCCTAACAAAAAAAGTGGCTCTCTCATGAGGGAGGAGGGAATTGAGCTGAACTGTGTATTTAAATAGTGAGAAGATCTAAAACATATACTGTAGGAAAATAGGAAATGAAGAAGAGATAGATGTTTAAAAGACAACAAATGGAAATAAGGTTCCAGTTAGATAGTCTCAAATTTATAATGGACCCAAGAATATACCAAATTCTTTGGATTTCTCCAGCAACTCTTGAACCCAGAAGCAAAATAAGTTCAGGGTTATTTATTCTTCTGTAATTCCAGAACAACAACAAGAGGCACGGGATTAACACATTCAAACCCAGAGCTCACTCAGGCAAACTCTTTTGTTATCACATTTAAAAACTGTGGACTCATATTAATATGCTACATGCAGTAATTCACTTTGAATAATATTTGAAAAACATCATGTCATTGAATGGGTATGTGAGGGTAAATGAACACAAAATGGTGTGGATCTCTTTGTAAATAATTGTGTTTTTCACCACTCAAGAGAAATCAGTTGAATTTGTCCTGGATGAACACCTTCTCTAACCGGCCTGAATCTGGAAACTATCAGTAGTTACTGCTTTGCTATCAGCCTGTGTTACGCTTCAGGTAAAATTCATCATCGAGGTCCTTCCTATATTCTCCTAAGGATCCTATTCAGCCATTGTTTTAGCATTTTATCCATCTTCCTCAAATAACCAATCAGGAAAATCTAACTGGAATAAATATTTATCCCACATTGATCAAAGAACTATACTACAGAACCCTCACATCAATTCCCAACACACATACACTCTCACTCACATACTTATGCACATATACATAGAGCACACAAGTATACAAGTGTATAATAAATCCACAGATAAATGTTTTCAGGGTATTTATAGTAAATATTAAGGCACAAATAGTAAATATTATTTTCCTAATGTACTACATCACATGCTAAGTGAAAAGCATTTTTCTTATTCCATTATAATGATTTTCAGTTCCATTATGACTATTATACATTCCTGGAGGCATCTACACTGAAGAACTTTTTATATTCGGATTGTGTGAAATTATCTCATCCACTAAAGCAGAATGGTTAAATTTCCTATCACTTAATTAAGTCCATGTTTATTTCTCACTATATAAGCAGTGTCAAATAAAAGGAACAACTCAAAAATAGAATTATCCACATTACCATAAATTATTTCCCATATATTGACAAAGATTTATAAAAGTTCCAACTAAATCTAAAACTTTATACCTTTCAATTCCACTTCTTTTCTCTTTCTTTCATCAAGTGGGAAAAAAATGTTGATGGGTAGTTGTGTTGAAGGTCTCAGGTTTGCTGGTAATTAGAAGGATTTATAGGACTCAGCATATTACAGTCATAATTATGTTAAGATTTTATTAAAGCGGAAAGATAGAGCAAAATTTGCAAAGAGAAAAAGGCACATGAAATGAAGTCCAGTGGAAACTAGGAGCACACACTGAGGGTCCGCTCCCAGTGAAATTACACAGGACGTGTTCAACTCCTCCAGCAGTGCATTCCAACAACACGTACAAAGTGCTGTCTATCAGGAAAGCTCCTTGTGCCCAGAGTTTTCATAGGGGCTGGTCACTTGGGCACCAACTACCTGTATGGAGCAAAATTCTAGACTCTCAGAAACCAGTTGTTCAAAATAAACTATATTCTTTGTAGTCTAGGCACGGTGAATTCTCATTATTATTGTTTAAGGAAAACTTCATTTCAGTGTAGAAAACTGCTTATCCAAGTTCTCCGATGCCAGAAAAGGGCCTACCCTTATAAGCAGGGCTTCTTAGGGGTGGCTGTCTCAAGCCTACCCCATTCACTATTTCCTGCCCAGCGATAAAGTTGTCAAAGAGACAGAAAGAAACAGAAGGTTAAATGGCCTAAATAATTTCTTAATTATTTCTTAACTATAAATAATACTTGGTAGAAAAGAACTCTCTCCCTTTAAAATAAATTGTCTTTGATTACCATTGGCTCCCTTTGTAATTTCTGCAGTAGCAGCACTCAACTCTAAAAAAAAAAAATACTCAACCTACTCATTTGAATA